AAATATTTTTTTCCAACTTCCAAAAAAAATCTTGATTATCAAACGGGGCCTAAAATCAAAGGTATGTCCATGAGTAAGAAAAGTGCTAATATGATTAGTTTTAGTTCTATTCAATGTCGATTTCTTGAACAGTCATACCAATGGGCTTTATTTCATAAGGATCATAGTATAGACTTGGTGTTGGATGCAGATTGATTTGCTTAGGTAAATCGTTCCCTTCCGGAACTTATACCATCCTTCTTCGACAGAAGCCCGGGTTATATCATTAATTAATGGAGAAATTATGTTACACACTTCAATTTTAGCTAAATTTAATTTTACTGTTGATAGTTTTTTATTTTAAAAATATTGTGTTCCTTCATTATAATAGTCAGGAAAGTAAATGAAAAGCATCAAGTCACCCACCATACTCACATCCGCACGCTATTTGAATTATCACTTACCGATGCTTTGTAGGTGTATGAAATTCTGTCTTGTTATCGTTGACCATCGAAGTGAACAGAGTAAGATAAGACGTGTGATGGATTTGGAGCAATTGTTGGGGCTTCTGATAGTTTTTGTACGTAGTATCACAAGTGATGGTGGTGGTTGACAATGACGACGTGGTGAAGTGGCCGCGCGATTTTGACGTTGTTGGGGGTGGTGTGGGTCGACGGAGGGTGCTAGCTAGGATTTTGTTAGGAATTGTCTGCAATAAGAGATAATTTTCTGGACCTCCCTGAGTTTGTTTTGGTGAAGGTTGTGGTTGTGATTGTGATTGTGGTCAGATTTAAGGTATTTCATACTTGGGTTTATTTGGAAAGTGATGGTAGAAGTTAGTGGACCTCTCTGAGTTTGGTTTGGTGAAGGTTGTGGCCGTGGTTGTGATTGTGATTGTAGTGAGATTTAAGGTATTTCATATTTGGGTTCATTTGGAAAGTGATGGTAGAAATTAGCGGTGGATACGTCTATAATATATTAAGCTCTTATTTGGTGGGAATTTGGAAAATTTTAACCTTACTATAATTCAATTATTTCAATAATGCATTACTTTCCATTTTTTTAATATGTAATAAATATTACAAAATTCTTGTCATGTAAGAATTTCGTGTTATTAATTTTTAATTAATTAACATTTACATTAATCTAAACTCAATGAATCTTAATCTACACGAGTCTAAAGTAATTATAGATGAATTTATTTCTATTCATGTATCTATGAATTTTAATGGGGCTTTAAATTCATGTATTAATAACTAATTCTTATATATCAAATGTAATATCATTTGTAGTATTTCATCATCGCAAAAAAATTAAATTATAGAAATTGAGTTTTGAGAGTACAATTTTCTTTTCTTAAATTTCTATTCAAAATTTTATTTTCTTTAATTTGTTTGAGACTTATTAAATTCTCCCAACAAATTAATGTCAAATATTAATTTTATAACACTTATAAAAATAGAATTGTAACTGATACTAATGTTCAAAAAATTAGTAAACAGTCTATTATTAGAATAAAAGAAAACAGTAAAAAAGTGCCAAAGTATTTGTGACAAAGCTCACCAGATTCGGATGAATGTAACACCAGACTGATGAGAAATGGGATGTCGGTAGTGAAAATTAGGTGGCAAAATTGATTAAAAAAAAAACTATTAAAACATTGGAAATTCACTAACCATATAGTTAAGCATTTATCTATTTTAGCGTGTTCATGACTAAATTATAGAATATGCAGGTGTTGTGTGATTTTATTAAAAGTAGGATTGGGCGAGATTTTATTGGTGTCGGTTTCGACTTCAACTCGAAACCAAATCCAAATTAGTCGGTTTGGATGAATTTCAATCCAAAACAACACAATCTAGCTCTTAAATCGAACTGATTCAAACCAAATTAGTTTGGTTTGGTTTGGTTAGATTAGTCGGTTTGGACTTTTAGTCCAAATTGAATTTTTTTTTTTTTTTTTTTTTTTTTAAAGTTTGGATTTTGGGCTAACTTAGATTACAAGAACTAAAATAACTAAATAATTTTATATTACAAAAATGGGTAATTAGCAGAAATGGTCCCCAACACTTACACTCTTTGCTAAAATGGTCCCCATCGTTTTAAAATTGACATTTGTACCCTTATTTCAAACGTTTCTTGCGGAATTGGTCATTTCATCCATAAACTGTTAAACATCCGTTAGAACATTTTGGTAATTTGCAGAAATGGTTCCTATGAAATATAATTTAATATAATTTTGGAACGGCCTGTTTCGACGAGTGGTAACTTTCGCTACGGTTGGCCGTTTCGCACGCCGTTAGGGATATGAGAAACTAGGTCATGAGCACTTCGAAATGGTATTAAAAATGTAATATTTCGACTTCGTTTGACTTTTCGTAATAATCCCGTAAAATGGAGACAAAAAATAAGAAAAATCGTTTAGTTTGATAAAATGTGGTGGATCTTGTAAAATATATAGTGAAAATGTTGATAAAAATTCTGACTAAAAGAAAACGTGTGATTAAAAATGAAATTTAGTGCTTGTTTGGTAGAGATTTTTCGGGGAAGAATTGATTTTTGAATAGTGATATGATGGAAAATGTGTGGTTGAAAAAGAAGAAAAAATTATTGATGTAATGAAAAATATTATTTTATTGAAAAATGTGTTGTTAAAAATAAGAATTGATTTGAGAATCAATTCTCAAATCAAAAACAAACACGCACACGCACTAACCCTACAGTCCTACTCGTGTACTTTTGAGTGTTTGCAAAGAAAATTGACGTAGGACAAACAATTCGACTGTTACGAGCAGACCAATTGCATGTGGAAGCATTGGCGCCGCATGGTCCTCCTCTTTAATACCCGGCAAGACTAGTTCAACCTCTTATTTATTGATTATCATATTCAATGCACTCGTAACTAGTTCAAAATTTGCACTATTTTGCACCAAATTTTGTACCAAACTTAAATTCATCTCCAACTATTTGCACCAAAAGTTACGAGCAATGATATTCATTATCATTGGGGTTACAAACACAGTTTAGGTGACTCTAAATGTTAGGTTAAATAAAATGTGAAATTAAATGACTTATTTAATTTCACATATCATTTAATATCATATTAAAGCTACCTAGATTATGTTTGTAACCCAACTGTGAATGAATAATATTACTCAAAAGTTACATTAAATGAACAGTGTTTAATCATTTTCTTCTCTTTTTTATTCTTAGTAATTTATTTAATCGAAATATTTTTTATTTATTTATTTTAGAAATACATAAATTACTAAATAAATAATTACTTTAAATTAAGGAAAATATTAAATTCATTAATAATAATAAATATATTTATTCTTATTTTAATTAATTCAATAATTATTATTTTCAATATTTAAAATTTATTTTAAATGCAAATAATGATAATAGTTGTAGTAGTAGTAAAAATGAAAATAATAATAATAATTGTATTAAAAATTATATAACACAAATGACACAAATACCCTCCAACAATTCTTTTAACAAATTAAAAAAGGGGGCAATTGGATTTTGCACCATTTTGGAAAAATTGTGCAAAGTGAATAGTGTTGCACCAAAAAGTGAATATGGTGCAACACTATTCACTTGGCACCATTTTAATATTGTGCAACGCTATTCACTTTGCACATTGGTGCCACATTGGAGCACTTTTGCACCAAATTTTAGTGAAATTTGGTGTTTTGGTATTGTCATTGAAGATGCCCTTAGGGAAACATTTTAACATAGAAGGAACCTCTCGAATTGAAATTGAAACAAAGGTTCCAGTCCGATTCCAAAAATAAATAAATTAGGAATCAACATCTAGAACAGAGAACAATACGTACCCAATTCTAGAATTGAATTTGTTATTTTTTTTATATAATTAGTTATTTTTATTTTTTACAGTTTAAAATAACAAGTTTGCAAAGCTCGGCAAGTGACAAGTTTGCAGGATTCAATTAGTAATTACTCTAGTCTATGAGATTCATTCACTTGAATCATATCACTTTCATTCATAGTCATTTTTTATCGAACTTTACACGTTGTCCATACCTTGCAAACCATTCTCTAGAAATTGGACGTCGCATTACGGTCGAAATTGAATGCTATTATTCTAGTTATTAGATGTTATTTGGTGAATGAATAATGATATTTAGCTTCTGTTTGACAACCATTATTTCAGATTTCTTTAATTTTTATATTTATTTTCAACTACACATTTTCACAATAAAATATATTGCACGTAAACTCCAAAATTTTTCAATTTTTTAACCACGCATTTTTTTAAAAAATCACTATTCAAAACTTCATTTTTCTCAAAATAATTACTATCAAATAACTGAATAAGGGCTTAATATCACTGGTATTAAAACATGACCAGTCTATGTAGTACTAATGCGACATTAAATGAGATATATAATTAAATAAATCACTTAATTGAACATTTCATTAAATCTACTTTTTATCGTCGTCACTTAAACTAGTGTTCTATCAACAATGGTGTTAGATAACATTATTCTTGTTGAATGTTAGCATCGAGTCGAAAAAGTGTTTTAATTATGTTTTTGGTGGCATATTATATTTCTTCTAAATATTGTGAAGATAATTTGTATTACTTAACTGATGATTTTTAATAAAAATATTATGGGTGTTTAGTTTGAATAATTACGTGGACCCAAGTTGTTCTATTTACGAGTTACTCAAAATGTAATGGACGGTTCGAGTATTGAAATATTCGGACTCCACCTAACGCCATGGCCTATCGCTAGTTGAGTTTCATCTGAAAAAGTCAATATTGTGACAAAACAAACGCGTCTTGTAACTGTGCTGTCGACCTCATCAATGCATGGCAGCTGCACTAAGTAAACAGATAACCAGGCCAAGCATTTACACTCTCATAAATGCCTGAACACCACCTCAACAACCACGTTTCCCCCTTTAATTCCAAACTTCAGCATTCCCATCTACTAAATATCCACATTCCGCAATCCGGGTCTAACAAATTCTCCACTAAATCAGTCGAAATGGTGAAGAAAATGGAAGCCAAATGCTTGGCTACACTCATCGTTTTCGTGGCTGTTTGTGGTGGTTTTGCGGCAGGTGGTGCAGATACGGCCTTAGCAAACAAGTGCACGGCGGAATTCCAAAAAGTGATGGCGTGCTTGACGTTTGCCACCGGGAAGGTGGCGGCGCCGGGCAGGGAGTGCTGCAATGCGGTGTCGGATCTCAAGGAAACTGACCCTGCTTGTCTTTGTTTCACTATTCTGCAGATCCATAATGGTTCTAATCCTGCCATTAAGCAAATGGGGGTTCAAGAATCACGCTTGCTTCAGTTGCCGTCTGCTTGCAATTTGGCCAATGCTAGCGTCAACGAATGCCCCAGTAAGCTTTACTCTTAGCGTTCATTTCGACACTTCAAAGAATTTTTTATCATGCATGTTGGGGTAAGCTTAAAAATTTTACTTATATAAGTTTCCTATTTCAAGTAAATAAATAAGTTTTGAAATATTCAGACAAGTTTGTAAAAAAAAAAAAAAGTAACTCTTTACGGTTTTACTTGCTTTTAAGCTTGGCCAAACTCGCTAGATTCATTTCACTACTTTATGTATAGTATTAATACATATGCTCCCCTTTGATTTTTGCATATACATGTTTGGCAATGATGATTTGTGTATATACAACACATATTTTTATACTCCAAGATACGAACGATCTTTCCATTCTTAAACATTTTAATGAATTAATACGCGATTTTGCATAATGAGCAGAGCTCCTACACTTACCTGCAAATTCTTCCGATGCTGCGATTTTCACCAACGCTAATGTTACGACCACCCCTATTTCCACACCGGGGACATCATCACCAACAACGGCCGGGGGCTCAAATGGATTCCGGCATGGACCGCAGCAACTTGCAGGACTTCTGGCTATAACCATGACCATCTTCTTTTATGCATTTCCAGCAGGGGTTTAATGTTAACAAGTTGGCTGTATGAGTAATATTCACTTCTCATGACTCTGAGCTTTTGTTAAACTATTACTGTCATTCATATATAGGCAGTTTGGTTTTGCTAAAAACACAAAATTTTAGTGGATTTTGATGAAAGTTATGGGTTTCATGATTAAAATTAATTGTCGACTTTTAACTTAAATTTTTTATTAAAAAATTTTCTTTTTTAGTTAACTAAACCAAACATGGACATATTTATATGCTTTGATTAATTTAAATAAATAAAAGTGACATTAATTCTATATAGCTAACCGATTAACTTTTTAGATGAGACGTGGTTGAACATTTTGCACAATTCCTTCACTGCCAGCACCACAACATCTTGAACAGCCACAAATAAATTAGTTGGCAAATCCAGTATCTGTTTTGGTGGAAAAAGAAAAATCGTACAAAAATTAATGATTTCTTAAAATTTTCAATCATATTGCATGTACATCATCTTTTATATTATTCTTTACATTTTATCACGTGGCAACATACTATTGAACAGTTTTAAAAAATAAATAATTTTTCTACGATGGAATTTTTATTATATAATAGAATAAAAATTAATATTGCAATTTTCGCATGAATAAAATTATAAATAAGATTTTTTTCTGAATTGACCCCCAAGCCCTGAGAAAAACTATAAATAGGGGCCTAAAGCTTTCATTTTCTTCTTCCTTTCGTGATCCTAATCTGTCTGCTCGTTCAGTTTAGTGAGTTACTTTTAGTTAATGTTAGTTCTAATTTTTTAGAACATGCATTGAACAGGTGATGTTCCGTCATGTATGGTACATAAGGCAAAAATTGAAATTTAACATGTTCGTGCCAACACGTTAGTGCTTTGAGTTGACTCGTTATGCTTTTACGTGTCAACACATAGACATTACATGTCAATACGTAGGCTACGTGTCAACACACGAGTACATTTTTTGTGTTGACAATGCCTTCATTTTTTTATGGTTTGATCTCTGGGAACCTATTTCGAGGGATTGAAAGAAGGATCATGCTACATGCAGTGATGGACCCAGGATCTAAGTTCAGCCCGAGCGGACGTTGACTAGTCAACGTCGATCATCAGCGATCGTAAGTGCGATATCGTTTATTAATATTTAATTATATAATATTAAAAATTATTGAATATATATGTAAACGCACCAAAAGTATTAAAGAAATACGTAATACAACATACTCTGTAACTGTGATTTTAGACAACTGCATTCTACTGTATCTCATGCTTTGAAAACCTTGCAATATTGTTTCATTCTCAATTTTTTCAAAAATCTCTTTCTCCATGTACACCATCAAATTGTCATTCAACTAGTCGTCTCCCATTTTATCGCGCAAGTCACTCTTGATTAGATTCATAGTAGAGAATAAACCAGTCGTCTCCCATTTTGTTGCGCAAGTCACTTTTGATTAGATTCAAAGCAGAGAATACTCTTTCAACACTTGCAGTTGTCACGGGTAATATCAAAACCAATGTGATCAGCCTATAAATCAATAGAAAATAACAAGAGCTTTTTGTTTCAACCAACTTCCAAGCCACACAAGAAATGCTGTTGAGATTAAAGAAAGCTTCATTCATTCTCACAAATATAACGAACTTGTCAAGTTCAGGTCGAAACAATAAAAGCTCTCCATTATTGAAGTCCAAATGATACGACTGAGCAAGACGTAGCAATTTATCCCTATCAAAAGTTGCAAATGAATCTCTTGGATTTAAACACGAAATGCAAGTTAGGAGCTTGGTAATTGTCTCGGAAAAACGATCATTCAACTCTTGTAAGATTGAGTCTATCACGAGACAATACAAATCAACATAAAAACGATAACAATAAGTCACCTGTTGAGTTCCACGTTTAGGTCGACCTCTCAATACAACAATATCCTCTATATTGGGCACAAAAATATGTCTAACAACACAAAACTTAATCACCCTACTCAACAAATTATCCCAGCCATTGTCTCTCATGTCCTGCAATGCATATTTACACAAATTTAATAACCCCACGGCATTCTGAATATCCCGATCCTTCTTCTGTAAGGTTTGTGAAATGTTGTTTGTAATTGCTAGAATTTCAAACATGAAGTGGAGACTTATAAAAAAAANCTCAACAAATTATCCCAGCCATTGTCTCTCATGTCCTGCAGTGCATACTTACACAAATTTAATAACCCCACGACATTCTAAATATCCTGATCTTTTTTCAGTAATGCTTGTGATAGGTTGCTTTTAATTGCTAGAATTTCAAACATGAAGTGGAGACTTATAAAAAAAAGGCCCAAGAATAAGCAACCAGTAGCAGTTCACAAAAAAAATAATTTCTGATCACCCATCGTCGGTTGCTGCCTTCATTCCCGGTGGACTTCAAGGTCTCGATGGACCCAGCACGGGGCGGCCACGGGGGCTGATCATATGCTGGGTCCACCCCAACTACATGTACCAAAATTTTTTATCAAATCCCTTACTGACTACTCACAATATAGAGGTAGAGGCTTGGGATTTTTTTATTTACGCGGGCCTGCATGCATGTGAGAAAGGGTAAACACTTCGATACATTAAATTATGTACAAATATCTTTACCCTTTGATGAATTTTAGACGTTTTCATATGTCTCTTGTGTCTCAACACCCATGTTTTTGGTGTGGCAGTGCAAAAGGAAACATACATTACTTTTTGTAGAAAACTCCAAATTACTATGCGTAAAGTGATTGTTGGAGACCTTTGAATCAATTTTCACACACTAATTTCTCTGGGTAATTTGTGTGTTGTTCTTGGATGTTGTAATTTATTAAATGAGGAGAAAATTTGACGAATTTTTTAGACGTTACCAAAATATTCCATTAAATGCAAGAGATTTCCAAACCCTATCAATAAGTTGAGAAAATTAAAGCACTATAAACTTATTTTAAAAAATAATAAAAATTAAATGTAATCTAATCTATCAATCGAGTAGAAAAAATAACAAATAAATAAAAACCTTTTTTTTCCTTACTTATTGTCAAGTAAAGTAATACTTTCACAATATGAATCTATTCGAATAATTAAAAAGTGATTCTTTTAAATAGTTGAATAGCAGTGAGAATGCTTATCTCCCCCATTCGGCACGGCAAGATCAGCAATAGCTAGGCACGTGATCTATTTTATTAAATAAGGCAATGGTGATATGATCATATACATATATTTTCCAAATATCCTATTCATAGCTTGGGTGCATGCGAGTTGTTCGGACTTGCCAACTTAAGAATGAGAAGAATGCTGCTTTGAGGCGTGGAATCTTGGAAGCCAAACCTACGGTTCATTTACTTTCAACTAGAATTCGAGACAAATACTTTGTACTCTGCTTTGGGGAAAAAACAACAAAAAGAACTTTTGCAACGAATTCAAAAATCTTGTGTAATTTGAGTCAATTCACCGGAATAAGAAACCTTGCAATAATTATTTGGGCCTCATTCCTTTTATAACACTGGGCTTCGGCCTCTCATAATTAGTATAGGAAATTACACCCACAATGGTTTTTAAGTTACCATTTTCAAAAATCCAAAATCAACTTTAATAATACATAAATCAGGTTTTAATTAATCATTTTAAAATTAATTTTTATTTAAATCAATTATACACACTTTTCAAACTCTAATTTCATTCTCTCCCTCTCTCTAACTCTGTCCCCTCTCTCTCTCAATCCCTGTCGTCGCCGCCCGTCGGCACCATCACCGTTTCATTTCTTCGTTCCACCACCACGGTGGCTTTGTGCAGATCCGGTCTTGGTTCAAATTTGTTCTTCTTCCTTTTTTTTTGATTGATGCTGCAGAGGTGTGTCGAGCGGTGTTGGTGGATGTGTGAGCGTCGGTGGATGACAGTGGTGTTGCTGATGGTGGCGCCGCGCGGAGGAACGACGAGAGTGTTGGGCTGACGATATGGAGGTTGCACGGTGGAGGTTATGCCGTCGGGAGGTTTATGGGCGAACCTAGAGGCGGCAATGTCACCTCTGCGAATGGGCAAGGACTGTACCGGGGGTTTATACAGAAATTGACGGTGGGTTTAACAATGATGACGTCATGCCCCGGAGAATTGAGTAGGGTGTAACGAGGAGAGGAAGGAGAGAACGTGGTAGAATTAGTCAACTTTTTGCTAATTTCTCTTCAGTTTTTAGGAGATTTAGATTGGATTCTTCCTCCTCGGGTCAGGTTCGGGTTAGTCGGAGTTGGAGCTTGTTGGGTTCTGGTTCGTTGGTCGTTAGTAGGTATGTGTTGAGGAGGAATAGTAACAGATCTGGTGATGGGCTCGGTGAGGTGTGGTTGCGGTGCAGGCGGTGTTGTTACTGTGGCAGTGGTTACTGTGGTGTTGTGGCGGGGTGAACAACAGTGGTAGTGGTTTTTTTGGTGTTGCGGTGCAGACAGCATTGTTTTTCATTGTTATTGTGACGGTGGTTGTGGTGGTATTGTGACGGGGCGACGATGGAGGTTTGGGTGGTGCTGTAGCGAAGGCGGGATGGGGTAGTATTTGTGACCAATTATTTAGTTGGTTTGTGACCAAATATTGGCGGAGGATCGGGACGGGGGTAGGGTGTTTGGTATATGTGATCGGGACAGTGTTGTGTTGGTGGTGGTCACAAATGATTTGTTGATTGTGACCAATAAATTGGTTGGTGTGTACCAATAAATAATAAACTGTGACCTAAAAATAATTTGTGACCTACAAATTTATTAATTTGTGACCAATAAAAGTAATATGTGACCTATAATTTGATGTTCTGTGGCCATAAAATAAGTTCTGTGACTTATAAATTTTGTGATTCGTGACCGATGAACAATTGTGATTTTTAAATTTTTAATTTGTGACCGATGAACGAATCGTGACCTATAAAATTTTTGAACTGTGACCTTAAAATTTTTGAATTGTGACCAAATTGTGATCCTAAACCTATAAATTTTTTGAATTGTGACCAAATTGCATAGATCTGTGACCTTTATATATT